CCGGAGACGGACTCAGACAAGGACTAAATAGGAAAGACAGACCAGACTCAATAGGACACAGGTGATCGGAATCAGGATTGAACACGAGGTAATGAGGTGGGCGTGGCACACATTAGGAGCGGACGGAGCGGGACGTGACACAGACATATGGATACCCTATTTTACTAGCACCACTGTTGCATGATCTCCACACTCTTGAATCAGATGGTGTGTTTATTGACTCAGTCGGTCATAATATCAAAGGAACAGTGTTTTGTGTTTCGGCAGACAATTTGGCTGCTCACGGATTAGCAGGCTTTGTTGAGTCCTTCCGAGCAGGAAATATTTGCAGATTTTGTTTGGCTACTTCTGAGGAAGTGCAGGTTAGTGCAGTCAGTGATGGGACATTTGTCCAAAGAACTAAAGCTGAGCATGATCTTCATGTTCAAAGTGTAATGCACAATGACTCAGTTGACAGTCTCTATGGAGTGAAGAGAGACAGTGTTCTCCGTCAATCATTAACACATTTCCATCCAATTTCAGGTTTCCCACCAGACATACTTCACGATCTATTGGAGGGTATTGTACCAACTGAATTATGTCTGTGCATTAAAGAGATGATTCAACTCAAACACTTTACACTAGAATGGTTGAATCAAAAGATAATGTCATTCCCTTATCAGTTCTCAGATAAGGTAGATAAACCCAAGCCCTTACCGAAAACATTCATGTCTAAAGGTACCATAGGAGGCAATGGGCATGAAAATGCCACTTTACTGAGATTGCTTCCTTTACTTATAGGAAATGCAGTGCCTGAGACAAGTGGTCCATGGGCAGTGCTAATGGAGCTTAAGGATTTGGTTGAATTGGCAATGTGTCCATTGTTCACAGAGGAAATGTTAGATTATCTGCGATGCAAAATTGACGACCATAGACAAACACTGAAAGAAGTATTTCCTGAATGGAGACTACGACCCAAGCACCATTACGTTGAGCATTACGCTGATCTAATTAAGTGCTTTGGACCCTTGGTTCATCTTTGGACTATGCGGTTTGAGGGGAAGCATCGCTTTTTTAAAAGGGTAGTGCATGATGCTCAGAACTTTAAAAACATTCTCAGGACTATGGCAGTCAGACACCAATACATGATTGCTTACCATCTCAGTTCTGGCTCCTTTTTCAAACCTAAAATTCAAACAAGTGCTGTTAACTCAGTTTCAGTGTCATCCCTACCAGACATTGCTCAAATGTGCATCAAAAAGCAAACAGACAGTGATTCAGTTTTCAGCACCTTGAAAGTCACAGTTGATGGTACAGAGTATGCCAATGGCATGTTTGTATCAGTGGGAGAAAGTGGAGGATTGCCAAAGTTTGCAAAAATATTGCAGATCTACTTGGTAAATAATAAGGTTTCTTTCTTCTGTACTGACTATGACTGTTGGTATGTGGAACATCTTCGTTGCTATGAACTGTGTTCTCCTGTAGTAGGGCATAGTCAGTCTTTCTACTTGCACTCTCGACTAAATGACACTGTGACTTTGTGTGCATACAGAATTGAAGGACGGTTATTGCTGACTACAAAAAGGTTCTTACCAGTTACACACAATGGAGGCATTTAAAAGGTGGGTGAAATATGCATTTTGTACTACTATTCCTGGCATATCCAGTTATAATAAATAATTCAAAATTAATTTGAAGCCATGTGTTGGTGAGTCAATATTTGTCATTTTTCCTACTCCTCCCATAGCACATCAGCAAGCACAGTGTCTTGTGCAATGATACTGCGTGTTGTTGAAGCAGACCGTGCAAGGAAAGTGAAACTTAGCACACAACCAGCCTCCGTTAGTGCACTTATTCAAATTTTAAAAGACCAACTTCAGCTGGACCTTGAGTTTAGTTTACAATATGAGGACCCTGATTTCAATAATCAGCTGACTTCCTTGGATGATATAAATGAGTTGCCTCAAAAGGCAGTGGTCCATATCCTGCCAGTGCAATCAGATGGCTCCACTACATCTACTGAAATTCTATCAGATGTGTCGAATCCTGAACGTTCTAAGATGTGGCCTCGTGATTTTCCAATTCCACAGTTTTCCTATGATGTTGAGCTAAGGCTTAGACAGGGAAATGATGAATTTGAGAAGAGCGGAAAGGGTCTAAAGTTGACAAGAGACCAAAAGCATGACATTCTGGAGAAGCTTGGCTCAACCATGTATGATTTTAAGGCGTACCCAGACGACAAACAGATAGGAAAAGTAGCAGAGGCCCTTGTCACAAAGCATCCTTGTTTGAAGGAGCCAGGCTCTGACACAGGTTGGAATGGGTGGAAAACCAGTTTAAAGTTCAAGATGGGCAACTTGAGAAACAAAATGAGGAAAATTGGATGTCTTGAGGTAACTGTTAATGCTGGGAAAAGAAGTCAAGGCCATCCTGAGAATGAACCATCACATTCTAAAATCAAGAAACCAAGACGTTCTGAGGTTAATTATTTGCCAAACTTTCCTCAAGGTGAGGATGAAGCATCTCTTGAAACAGTTAGACAGGAAATTGCTGTTGAAGTCCAGAAGACAGAAAAAAATACTAGTCTCATCCACAAGAACATGGAGAAAACTTTTGCTCTGCGACGACAGAACATTGTTAGCGGAAGCCCATCTGTGAATGAGTTTCTGAATCTCTGGCCTGCACTGCGTATACCATCTGAGGTAAATAATAATAATAATAATTGTTTTCTAGTGATTATTATATATTTTCTGATGTGGGTTTGTTTTATAAAATTCTCTTTTGTCCGATTTAGCTGTTTGCAGAGTACCAACGTGTTACAAATGAGAATTTGCCCAACAAATTCTATGCACAACTGGACTACCTCCTACCTTGTTTGATGACCATTTTAAGGCAAAAAGCATCCAAGACAGGCAAGACAGCAGATACCCTGGCTAATCTTTTGAAAGTTCATGATGAGCAGGTATGGTTGTTGTCATAAGATGAAGTATTTGTTAAAATGTAATTAGATTTTTCTTTATTTCAGATATTTAGATGTTGTTTTTTTTTCTTCTTCTTGTTTTTCATCTTTGCAGGAACTGCATGATGTAAATTCACGACGGACTACCGTTATCAGAGGTCTTCCAGTTTTGCTGCGTGACAAAGACATAGGATTTTTTAGGACCACCCTGGTAAGCCTTCATTCATTGTTTTTACAATTATGCATGTTCTATTGCAAAGATGAAGGTTGAGGGGCAACCTTTACTTACTAATATATTTGTAATTATCACTAGTTGATGAATCATGTAATATTGACTCAGTCATATTGATAATGTTCTAACATGAATATAACATGTCCCTGAATAATATTTTTTAGATTGATAATCCTGAAGTACTGACTGAGGATGCTCCAGTGTCCCTGCTTACAGTTGTTCATGAAAATGCTGCTGCTCCAATCCATTACGATCCAGTGAGGGTCTCAGTTGTCCTGGAGAATGAAGTGGTCACCACCCATAGCCAACTTCCAGAGGCCTTTCTTGTCTTGTTTGGATTCATGTATGCTCTTCACTTAAAATATCCTAAAGGACTTGCCAAAACTTTTGAATTTGTGCAAAAAGTTTTACTCGGCATGGATGACGGAAAACTGTCTCCTAGTGTGCAAACATTAAAGAATGAGTTGATGTAGAGCTACTTTTTTTTTCTCGTTTAATGAAGGCTGGCACTGGGGCAGTAACTTAAAAACATGTCAGTACGTGTAGTTTAAACTATACAGGAGTCACTTACCAGAATGCACTATTTTTATTTCTTTTTATGAATGAAGTTTTATATGTCTTAATGTATGTTTTAAAAATCAGGATATTTAATTTTGTCAAACTAAATAATTTTTTTTGAAGCTCATGTTTAAACAAAGTTGGTCATGTAAAATTCTGTTAAATATTTTACAAAATAATTCTTCAAAAATATTTTTGTTTTGTTATAAGTCATACTGGGTTTTATGCATTACTTTTTCCTGAATGTTTTTTTCCCCTGAGAATTTTCACCCTTTTAAAGGGTTACTTTACAGGTGTCATGTTGATTTGTTATATCAAATAGAACACCATAGAAAGTATTGTTATTCTTTTTCATTGTATTAACATTCTGGGCATACTTTATTCATTTTAAAATAGTGTTTATTGTAAATCTGTTACTGACAAACTGTTTTAAAGGTTTTGAGAAATTTGTATGTTTATAGAAGGCATGTTTATTGTAAACATTCATGTTGGTATTACCTGTTGGACATTTTTTGTTTAAAAATAAATGTTAAAAATGGTATTGTGTGTTTGCTTGAAATTACAGATGCGTTTTCATACATTTATAGTGTTTACAGATTTAGAATTTGGTTAATTTCATTTATGAAACTCAAAATGGAAAATTTAATTAAAAATAATTGCAATCAAAATGTATAAGCTGGGTGACTAAGTATTTAAAGTTGGGAGAAATTAAAAGAATTAAGTTAAATGCTATCAAAATGTATAAGCAGGGTAACTAAGTATTTAAAGTTGG